CAGGAGGGCGCCAGGGGCCGCACAAAAAGGCGCGCGCTCCTGCCCCCGCCCCTTCAGGCCTCTGCAGTTGTCCCCGGCCAGCTCCAGACACAGACAGGGGCGGGGCCGAGCCCGGGGAGGGAGCTGGGCCCTGGGCCGGGGGTCCGCGGCCAGGGGCACCCGGACCTGTGCTTTTCTCTGCAAAAGGCACAACGTGTGTTTCTCTTGGTAGAGCCTGTGCCCAAGAGTTTGTATTTTGTGGGGAATGGAGTGCGGTGATTTGACTGCCATGGCTGACTTTGCATTCTCAAAGACCTGCACACCTTCGGGGATCGGGAGATCCCCCACCGCTGTTCACTCCCAGACCCCTGAGCCTCCAGTAACCCCGCGTGCCTCGCCTCCGGGCGAAGTGAAGGGGGCTCACCAGCGGGTTTTATGGCAGGCCTCTGGCCCCAGCAGGCATGCCCCTGCATCAGCATGGAAATGGGGCTCCAGTAGCTCAAGAGCTGCTTGAAGACTGAAATTTCCCAGAAACTTCTTTGCCCCAAGTTTGGGATTTCAGAACAAGGCTCAGGGAACCTGAAGGGTTCACCAATGGGGTCTCCCTGAGATGGGACTGTGGTTCCATTGCCAGGGGATGCACAGTTGAAGTGAGGGTCCAGGGCTGACACCATGAAGAGGAAAAAGAAGACCAAGGTCAGTGTTTGGGATGTTCAGGGCAGTTAGCCTCTAGAGAGCAGGCCACTACAGTGCTCCCGCGTGCTGGCCCCATCATGTGGAAAAGCCTGGCATTTTCACTAGAAGGCTCTTATTCTTCCCACTACCTGGAACACTGTCCCTCTGGAACAGAAGATCTCAGAGGATAAGGAATGCCTGCACCCAATCCCCTCTGTCTTTCCCATCTCAGGTCCATGACAAAGCAAGTTTGGAAAGAGGCCTCACCAGAGCCCACGGGCCAGATGGGTAATCAACAAATGCCTCTCAGTCATGTTCACCATTGAGAACTGTAGCAATCAAAGTGGATTTCAAGCTCACTCATGGTTAACTAGAACATTCAGGAAGAGACACCCCCACCCCACCTTTCCACTTTCCCTCAGTATCTGGTGAAATGAGGTAGGATTGCTTGTTCCCAGAAAAGCCTCACTTGCCTGGTTGACTGTTCTGCACAGCTGAGAGTTTAACTCTTTACCCCCTCCCTTTTAAGCCATCTTAGAATCAAACTTATAAAAAATACGTCTTCTAGCTCCTTGCTTTCTCTTAGTGAGCAGAGCACCTCACACCTTTCCTTTCCCTCTTTTCCCTGCCATTGCAGCGAATGCTCTCCTTCCCACAAGGGCACAGAAGAAAAAAGGACAGTGGGCCCCATCGTCACTGGCTATCACGCACAGGAGTAGATCAGTCAAGCTCACCCCTACTGCTGCTAGTCCTGCCCCCATGGTCACCTGGCTGTCCTTCAGAAACAATCCTTGTTTGCCAAAAATGGTAGGGCCATTCCAGGTCATTTTGTCCAACCACATGGATTGTAATGTGGGGAAACTGAGGCCCAGAGAAGGAGACGAGCTTGGCCCAAGGTCACATAACAGGAGAAGCCAAAACTAGAACCCCTATTTTCAGGTTTGCCTACTTCCAGAACAGTCTGTTTTCAGTCCTTCGGCTTGGACTGGAAGTTCAGGCAGCCACCAGCAGGTGGGAGTAGATGTGTTTGGTTGTGGGATGTTCCCAGCATTGAGGAATCAAATTCCACAGGCAACTGGTCAGGTCCCTCCTCTGTCAAGGAAAACAAGCCTGAAGCCTGAAGTTTTTGTCCCTAGGTGTCCTTGTGACTATGAAGATTGCCAAAAATTGACTGTGATGATGAATTCACTTCTAGAATTCACATCCCAGAGCCCACTCCCCCACTTCTGCTCTCCCTAGAGGTTGTTGAAATTTCTGACTCACGAGAAAAAATAGTCCAAAATGCCACAAGAAATACAAAAATATTACTATAATTTGTACTTGTTGAGCTTTTATCTAGTAAATTTATTAGAATATCCACAAATATCCAGGTTGAATGAGCTTTAATCTGAATATCGTGGAAGTTAGCCCATCTGTCTTCTCACTCAGCTCTGCCACAAGACAGCGAATGTTCCAGTTTGGCTAAAGGGTAGGTAAATTTGAGCTGTGGTTTTTGTGGTGTCATGGGCAAAAGGGACAAAAATCAAACCTCAAGGCCCAAACACCCAAACAAGTGGGGGATTTGATAAGCCTTCCTACCACTTTCGGCTGAGACTCTGAGTGGCTACTTCTTCGGCATATTGGTGACCCAGAAATAACCAGCTCTCATGTGGCCTTGTACCCTAGATACCTGTAATCTGGGGAGTCCAAGGAAACTGACCTTGGATTAAAGTGGCCTTGAACAGGTCGTGTCCCCAGGCATTTGAAAATACCACACCAAATGAAAAGACTCTCTGCAGGAAGGTGTTATTATCCTGGGCCTAGAATCATTTGTACAAAGAATTTTTCAATAATATGTCAGCACTAGTCAAAGATAATTTGGCATTAAAAAAAAATACACCGTGACTGCCAATAGAAACAGACAACAAAAACAAACTCATAAAGACTTTAGATATCAGAATTATGTGACACAGACTACAATAGCCATGGTTTACTATATTCCAAAATATAAAAGATAAGCTTGAAAATATCTACAGTTAAGAGATAATCATTAAAAAGTGATATAGCCAATTTAAAAAAGAATTGAGGAGAAGGTCTACAACTAAAAACTATAACAATGAAACTTGAGAATTTGATGGATAGGTTTAACAGAAGGCTGAACACAACTAAAAAGAGAATTATTGAACTGGAAGATAAATTACAAGAAATTGTCCAGAGCTCTTCCTAGAGAAACAAATTATATGGAAAAATAAAAACAGGAGGATAAGAGACACAATAAATAGAGTGAAAAAGATGATGGCTGAAAATTTGAATTCACGGATTCAAAAAACCCAATGAACTCTAGGCAGGATAAATAAAATAAGTCTACTACTGGACATAGCATAGTGGAAATGGAGAAGACCAGAGAGAAAGAAGCTATGCTAATGGTCCAATTAGAGGTTGAGACCCAAGGCAGGCTTAGGAGAGGTTGACACTAGGGCATGGGAGGCAGACTTTAGACTTTAGAATGCTTTTACTCAATTTTTCTGTGGAATAGAGGAAATTCTGCTCCATACGAGAAGCTGTATCAGAGTTTCTGTGTTTGGCTCAAAAATCCTTTATACTTTTATTCATTCTATTTGAGGGACAAACATTCTTATGTAGCCTTAAGGTCTCCTCCACCCCCACAGAAAATCCTTTCTCCAAGAGACACTATTGGGAGGGCGAGGCAGCCTTCTCTCTTGCTTAACCCCAAGTCAATCAGCATGCTGTCTGACAGTGAAGACATAAACCTGCTTCATTTGTAGCTTGCAGTATGTGGCCAACAACTTAGACAAAGTGTCATAAAGGAAGGGGGTACTAGATTTTTGATTTTGAGTTTCTATATTTTCTCTTCACTTGCTGGACATTCACAATCTATGTAGGTCACAGCTTCTCTCCCGTCTCACCCCCAAGCCTGAAGAAACCTGCCAGTTAATAGCTATAGCATCTTCTAGCAGTATCTCCCTTCCTTACTATGGAAGGGCAGAAGCAGGGAAAGTGTTCCAATAACTCTAGAGCGTTTTTTTTTTTTTTTTTCCTGCAGGGGCAGGTTGTAGCATAGTGGACTAAAAAGGCATTTGACCACAAACCAGAAGATATAGATTAGATCTCCATCAGCAGCTACCTAGGCCTCTATCTCAGCCTCTGAACATCAGCTTTCTCATTTGAAATATGGAGGTGATAATAATGTCTACTTGGTAACAGAACAATCCAGAAAGAAGGGAATCTTCTTCCATCCCAACTTGCT